TTGATTACTGATTTTGCATTTATAATATTTGACTGAATACGGGCCTATCGTAAATGGTTAGCATCCATGCTTCTCACGCTGAAAGATTTGAGCTCAAATGTCACCTCGGGCTAGTCACGAATGACCTAAAATGTGTTAAACAAAACAAATAAACAATAATCATTAGTTCAACGACAGATGAAATTAAATCAAATTTTATACAAGAAATTAACAGCAGAACTTCAAGTTAAGTTGCTTTGATTTAAAAAGTCTTGACTGCATAATGAAAGTACCATATGATATCAGACTTCTGTCGCGACAATTGAAATCAAAATGAGTTTTCATTATGATAAGAACTGCAAACTTTAATATCGATTTGCTTTCATTTTGTTAACCGACTTTGCTCGGGTAGTGCATTTAAAAAAGGGGTATTTTTAATCAGTTTTTAGTGCCATTAAATTTAAACAATTGAAAGTTTTTGAAGCTGCATTCAGCTGCAGATCGTGTTCGTAATAAGAGAAAAATCTAGCCTAATAACAGAAAAGAGACAATGCTCGGATAAGGTGCAAATAGCTGTCATTATGCACTAAAAGCGAGCGATCAATTGATCGGTTGACATTTGGCTTTATCCAGTTCAACATTCAAATCGCTTATAACATCTCAATACCTTGCGCAAGTCTGCGATAGATCAGACTATGGTCATTCGAAAGCATACGTGTCAGTCTAACTTTTACCACTAGTGTCAACCCTGACTTCATAGTGTGTGGCTTACTATTATAAGGTGATACTTAATTCAGTGAAACATTTTTGATCTACACTATATTCTATCTAACTTTCTCGTAGATGCCATCAAAATTCAAGCCACCGTTTGTGCTCCAACGAATTGAGTATCATTTTTATTAACTCCAAAAACTCATAGAAAATTCAAATTTAGTCGTATTGCTACAAACATTTGGATTTGACCTCGTCAATAGTATTAGATGATAGAAAAAAATAAATGGAGGAGTCAATGCGCATTTTCCATTTGTGATGTTTGTCTAGCGATACCCCACTGTGCATTGGTTGGGATAGAAAGCTCTCAATTAATAACTGAGGAAGTGCATCTAGAACACTGGGTTGAGGGCTAGGGAAACGCTTGCTACAGAAGCTTGAAAGCCTAAATTAAGAAGAAGAAGGCATTGCTAATCAACTTTTAAAAGTGTCCGGAATTCTGGACTAAGTGTCCGGATTCCAGTGTTTTACAGTATATGTTTTAACTACATTACTGCCACTCACGTCAAATTCGTCCCATAGCATAAATCAGCAAGCAGAGAATAACGCATTTTAGGTTTGCTTTGTAACATTGCCTCTTATGCACACTTAGAAAAATTGATGTAAATTTAGGTGCTCTGAGACTGACATATACGAGTGTCAATTTTAACATAAAATTGAGTCATAATAAACGCGAATTAAGCTCAATCAAACGTACTTTCGAACTTTTCAGTCTCGGAGCACTTACGTATCATCCTTCATGTCAAAGATGGATTCCACCACGTGTAAAATTAGGTATATCTACACACTACTAAAAAGTCATGTAAATTTCGGTTCCCTGAGACCGACACATGTAAGCAGGCCTTTTGACATAAGAATCAGTTGAAGGAAACATGAAAATTAATTCAATCAAACGTTCTCTTCGTCGACTAGCTGATGTTTCGGTTTGAGAACACTTAATTTTACATGAAATATTTGTTTACGTTCTATGATTTACGTCCAATATGGGTTACGTCTCGTGTAAAATTAGTTATTTCTAAGTTTGTAAGTGCACACACAAACTATTTGGCTGTTTAAACAAACTTTTCCAGAACAAAGTTGTTGACTTCATCCAGTATATTAAAAAACTACAAGGGACAGCCCTATGGGGTTGTACGCAATGGTTACGTAGGTCTACGTGGTATTATATAATCAAGCTTATTCGTTAACTGCAGCGGGAGCTTGCATTTTGTGTAGGAATAGGAATTTGATCGGGGTTCTCTCTGTTTATACTCTTTAGTATGACGCGCTTGACATAGATGCGGCTTCTTCCTCCTTCTATGGATGCTCATGTGGGCTGTGGCACGCTGCTTGCAGCCAGCCTTTCGTTGTGTGCTGGAGAACACCACCACTCACCACACGGTGATTGAATAAACACCGTTTGGTGAGACCGGTTGGAATTCAACTTTGAAATCTGTGTTAGGGAAATCGCTTTTCGCAGACAATCGGTGATAATTTCAACAATCATAGCAACAGTTGCACATCCATTAAACTTTCAATAGTGACATTTTGAAAAATGATAGTCTTAATTTTAGCAGATTTGTAGAAAATATTCCTATCGATTGGCGTATTAAGAATTAAAATCCATAATCTCTGGATCAAAATCAGACCACTTTCATGCCACGACCCCCAATGTTGCCTTAAAGTACATGGTTTGTTAGATTTAAACATATCTAGATAGAGCTGGAATTAGGCGTAACAGCTTTTGCAAACAATTACTTCTCTCGATGATTTTTAGGAATTCAAGGCATGCCCACGCAAACTAACATTACCAACGGGTAGAGGAAGTCTTACCCTACACAATAGTGATGTTGATTTGCATGAGCAAGCCTTAAATTTCAAGGGCTGCTACGCCCTAATTCCAGCACTATCTGGATATGAGAACTGACATCCGATTGATGACCTTGACAAATGTCCAAAAATACTCTTTTACAAATTTATGGTGGTCCTGAGAAGGACCGTTTTGTCTTTATGGTTTAGTAATACTGAGCTATTAGGGTGTTAAACACAGATGAGGCTGGTGAGCTGTATGTTGTTTGGAATGAGCGTGACGCGCTTGGCATAGATGACCCACAGTGACTCACGAAGAGCTACTGATTCCGATCAATAGCGGTGCGGCTTCTTCCTCCTTCTATGTATGCTCATGTGGGCTGCAGCTCACTGCTTCCAGGCTGCCTTTCGTTGTGCTGGAGAACAATGATCATCTGTGAAATCTGTGTTAGGGAAATCGCTTTTTGCAGGCAAACGGTAATAATTTTAAGTATCAAAGCAACAGTTGCACATTCTTGCAATTTTCAATAATAACATTTTGAAAAATGATAAAGTCTTAAATTTATCAGATGCGTAGAAATATTTCTAATCGGTTAATGATAAAATTATTGAAATTGGTCCAGAGGCAGTTATTAACGTTCAAAATCTTTCATTATTTGTTACATATTCCATTTTCGGTTTTCACAAAGTGTACCCCCATATAGAAATTACAGACGTAGTCCTACGTCAAAAATGAGCAACTATTTCCATTGGAAAACTCCTTTTTTTTGTTGACAAAAACGCAAATGGGACTGACTTGCAAGGAGTGGCAGATTACTTATAATCAAATTGAATAAATACCTACACACTTAGAAAAATTCATCTTAATTTAGGTGCTCTGAAAGTGACACATACGAGCGTCAATTTTGACAAAAATTCAAATCATTACAGACGCGAAATAAAGCTTAATCAAATGTACTTTTCGTCAAGCAACGAACTTTTCAGTTTCGGAGCACTGTTGGGTGTATTTATCACTGCGACCATTACTTTGATCTATTGTGATATTCCCCGTTTTTATATTGCTTTATCAGTTATGTCGTATCACTATTTTGTGAAGCGACCTACATAGACTGACCAAAAGCATTTTCCCAGCCAGGTATTACATTTCGAATGAAATGTACTACTTTACTGGGACCTGCATTCCAAATATCAAAGGGTTCTGCCAGTCCCTTATCCAGAAAAATACGCCTTTTATTGAAGATTGCTGCACAAGAGCATAGCAGGTGTTCAGAGTCTTCCTTTTCTATACCACAGAATCGACACATATCCTCTTGAAGTTTTCCTATTAGCTTCAAATGATATTTACATGGACAATGTCCTGTTATCAAACCAGTATAGACACTGAGATCTTTCTTTGATAATTCAAGAATTTTGCTAGTCATTGAAATGTTCGGAATTATGAACCGTTTCGACTGCCTAGCAATGGAAGTGTTGTTCCAATTGGTCTCCACTTTCATTTTTTTTTCCATTTCTTGATCTCCATTTTAAGAGAACAAGTAGAAACTCCACAGAATGGTTCTGGTCCTATGAATTGCTGTGATGATCCTAGCCTGGCTAACGTATGAGCTTTTTCATTCCCTTCAATTCCACAGTGGCCAGGAACCCAATATAAGTTTACTTGGTTTTGACAGGCCAATTTCTGAAGTGACATTGCACATTCCCATACGAGTTTGGAATTGCATGTTGCTGATTTTAAAGCATTTAATGCTGCTTGACTATCAGACATAATGCAGATATTCGAATGTTTATAATTCCTGCGCAAGCATATCACAGAGCATTCAAGAAATGTTTGAATTTCTGCTTGGAACACGGTTGGCCAGTCGGAGCACTTAATATTACATGACATGTTTGTTTACGTCTCATCTTTTATGTCAAAGATGGATTCCGTCACGTGTAAAATTAGTTATTTTTAAGCGTGTATCTAAAAATAGGTTACACACCCGGATTCTGATCTGCTGATCAAGATCTACTTTTAGCATTGTCGAAAACACGAATTAATTTAAAACCTCTACATGAATTTCCATATTTTGTTACAAGATCGGTTGTGATTTACGCGAAAGACTTCAATGCACAAAAGTGATGAACTCAGCTGTCTAAACACCATGCGCCTCCATTTGATCGTTTGATGAGTTGGAATTCATTAGGGGCTGTTCATTAACTACGTGGACAGTTTTTTTTTTGGGATTCTGGACCCCCCTCCCTCCCCCTGTGTAGACAATTGTTCATACAAATGTTTTTAAATTTGTATGGGCCGTGTATAATTTCCAACCCCTCCCCCTAAAACCGTCTACGTAGTTTATGAACAGCCCCTCACCCCCACTCAGCATAGTATGCAGTTCTCGATTTCACCCGATACTCAAACCCTACTGAGCACTAGCATCGTTACGTCAAGCATATATTCATCGCATACAAACACCACCTACCTTATCGTGGCTCTCCTCCAGTTCGATAATCCTAAACTCGAGCAGTTCATTCTGCTCGCGCAGTTCATGACTCTCTCGAAGCAGATTCTCCTCTCGCTGTTCCAGGTAATCAATCCGCTCGGCATATTTCGCCCTCTCCTGTTGAGCTTGCGCTGCCTACAAGTAAAAACGGAAAACACTCAATGATACCGTCTATACGAAAAGGGAGAGTGGTCTCAGCAAACTGACCTCCATCAACTCCCGCTCGAGATCGTCGATCTGCTCTTTGGCTTTGCTGTAGTTCGCACTCAGCAGGTCGTACTTGGTCTGCATCCTATCCAGCTCCAGTTTGATCTCCTTCAGTTGGCTTTCGTCCCGTAGCGATTGCAGCTGCTTTTCTTCTGATTGCTGCTGATGATGGATATGTGCTCGCCATACTTCCGGCGAGTTGGGACAGCTGGTCGTTTGTGGGCTGAGCGATGGAGGCGCTGACGATATGGCGGAATCAGCATCGGAAACCGTGGACAACTGCCTATCGGTTGTCACCATGGTGGTTCTCACTACACTTGGTTCACTACTATGGGTCTTTTTGACGCTGACAACGCCAGTGCTACTGCTGTCGTCGTCACCGTCGTCGTAATCGTCCTGATGGCTTACTAATCTAGCAGAAGCATGCACATCGTTGTGAGCTTCCATTGTTCGTGATTCGTGTGGCTGAAATTTCCCCCCCAAAAACGGGTAGACTTTAGAATCGTGATTCAGCTGAACCGGAAGGTGCATACTAACCTTAGATGTACTGTCATCATCGCCACACGTCGTCGTTTCTAATCCTAGGGGGGTGCTATTACTGTGGCTATAATGTTTCGTTGCTTGATTATAATTATGGTAGTTGTTTCTACTGTTGTAGTTCGTCGGTTCCAAAGAAGAAGTAGAATTGCGACCGTTGAGTGTCACAGTTGACTGCATGCCCGGGGCTGCTACCGGATCAGCTTCAGCATCATTCTGTTCGGGCTCGTCGCAGACAGAATGGATGCTACTGTGGCTTGTGCTCTTGCTGATGTTTCCGCTACATGTCGATTCAGACTCACGCAGTTTTCGCATCTGGGGGGAGGGAAGAAGAATGAAACGATGATAAGTTGTTTGTTTGTATTATATGTATGTATGTAAGGTAGCCACCATCCCTTCAAGACTTGTCTTGTATGCAGCTCCACTTAATAGCAAGATCAATTTGAGCAACCGATCTGAATTCACAATATCGCTGAATGAAGGGCCAAAAACGGAAGGGCGGACCCGTAAGCAGAGACACTTACGCGAAATCCACGGGAATTTAAGAATCTCCTTCCAACGATACGCTCCAACAAAACGAGTAACAAAATTCGCAATACTTATTAAGCTTCCTACTGGATGGTTTGTTAAGAAGGGCGCGTAAATCGCCCTGAAACTGTTGGAGTAGAACTCACACCACCAC